CAGGGCCTCAGGCATGCAAGGCAAGCGCTCTACCACTGAGCCACCTTCCCAGCCCCCTTAAAATCCTTTTCTTAGACCAAGCAAACAATGAAAACTCTAAAATAGGAGTCATAGGAAGAAGAAAGCAAAAGTTTACTCATTTCTTCCCCATTTATAGCAGGGCAAAAGCCATATGTGACAGGTGAATTTTTACTACTATAGCAGTGGATTCAAGTTCTATTTCAAAACTACATTTTCAGGTCTAGGAGGCATGGTTCAAGTGACAGAGCACTGAGTTCAATCCCTAATACTGGGGGAAAAAAATTATGATCAAAACTACCAAGTGCCCAGGCCCAGAGTTCAGGCCCCAAAATTGGACCCCCCCCCAAAAAAAAGAAACTAGGTACATTATTGCTCCTTTTACTTTCAGAGAATTGGGTAGTTTTTTTCTTTTTTCTTTTGTGCTGGTCCTGAGATTTGAACTCAGGGTTTGGGTATTGTCCCTGGTATTTTGGGCTCAAAGCTAGCACTTTGCACTTGAGCCACAGCTCCACTTCTGGCTTTTGGTAATTAATTGGAGATAAGAGTCTCATTGGCTTCAAATTTTAATCCTCAGTTCTCAGCCTTCTGAGTAGCTAGAATTACAAACATGAACCACCATGTTTTCTCTTTTTGATTATGTGGTGCTGAGGAATCGAACCCAGGGCCTCATGCATGCAAAGCAAGTGCTCTACCACTGAGCCACCTTCCCAGCCCCTGTACCTAGTTTCTTACAGAAAGTTCTGGATATAGTAGAGAAAAATTCTTACCCTGGCTTTGTTCTCCTTAATGTCAGCCCAGTACTTGTGAAATTTAACAATATTGAGATGTTCTAATTGAATCAGATTATCAAACACTGCACGGACTTTTTCCTAGAACAAGGGAGACAAATGGGTAAGAGTTCACAAATCACCCTAATGATCCTGAGAAGCCAGAGGTGATCTAACCCCCAACACGCTCTCCCCCAGTCAGTGTCCCCACATGGACTCCTCTTTAAACACCAGTGTTCTAAAGCCCCCAGGCTACAGCATTTCACCATTACCTACCTCCTGAAGTTTGTAGTTCTTGCGCTCAGAGAACTGTACCTCATTCCACACAACTTCCACACCTTCCTCTGTATCCATGGCCAGGTATGCACTGTCAATACCTGGTACATTCCGCTGATTCACCTGAGAAACAGTTCAAATGGAATTAAAGTTACCACTCTATTTTATTAAAGTTGATCTCTTTATTTTAATACTCTGTGAGACCAACTTCTCCCAGTGCCCAACCTATTGAAATCTGGTCTGCCTCTTTGGATAGCCCTTCTAGTTCACCTTTTATTTTGTTTTTTGGGGGTTTTGGGGGGGGAGGGGTCCGGCCGTGGGGCCTGAACTCTGGGCCTGGGTGCTGTCCCTCAGCTCTTCAGCTCAAGGGTAGTGCTCTACCACTTGAGCCACAGCGCCACTTGTTCTCACCTTTTAAATAATTTATTCTCCCAAGAGTGATGCTTCTATCACCTTACCTCTTCTCGCCTCTTTTGCCAGCGCCCACATGGTGACTCTTCCAAGATCTCAGATTCATCTTCACTCTCTTCTTCTTCCTCAGGAGAAGCAGCTGAGGTTGTAGAGGTCACAGGAGGTGACACTGAAGTCAGGCCAGGAGCTGAAGATGAGGATTCTACCTTTGGGTCTGAGCCACTACTGAGTACTGTCTGAGACTCTCCCTCCGACATACTGGAATGAACACTCACGCCTGCAGTGGTTGGGCAAAGACAAAGAAGGCAGCGGTCAAAATAAAACTACAAAGATTTCGTCTTAACCTCATTTGTAAGCCCCAAAACACATACCTCCCTTGTTTCCTTTAACTCCAATATCAGAACTAATTCCTGTGTAAATACTGAAACATTAACTACTCTGGTAACTCTGAAGGAGAGCTACCTTAGCTGAAGATGACAACCCCAGAGTGGCAAATAAAAATTTTGAAACAGTATAATGTTCTTTAAAGGGGTTATAAGTAAGGTTTACTTATAAGGTTATATAAGTAAGGTTCAAATGAACAGACAACTGGATGTCCCATTCCCTCTCAACAATTTGTCCAGTAAGTTTCCATTCTGAATACTCCTGGACCCCTACTACACTCTGCTCAAGAACTATGCCAAATAGCCACTATAGAAAACAGATGATTCCAGGCTCCAAATTGTTACCTTAAGACAGCTCTAAGGCTACTACCCTCAGCCAACTTATCCAGATAACCCCTAAGCTGATTTAGCCTAGCAGAACTAACCTTGGCACTCACTATCCCTTCTGTAAGAGAATGAGCTTGCTAATCCATGGAGAGGCTACCCTTGACACACACGTGTGGCAGTGATGACTTCATCTTTGATGACTTAATCCTTCCTATGATGTGAGTATAGTGAGTAGGTACTGACTAACATTTTTCATTTACTCAACAAATGTTTAGTAAACACTTATTATAGATCACCCACTGGTCAAATGACTGAGATAGAAGAGTGAATAAATTAGATGCCTAGGGGCTGGGAAGGTGGCTCAGTGGTAGAGTGCTTGCCTAGCATGCATGAAGCCCTAGGTTCGATTTCTCAGTACCACATACACAGAAAAAGCCAGAAGTGGCATTGTGGCTCAAGTGATAGAGTGCTAGCCTTGAGAAAGAAAAAAAAAAAGAGATGCCTATACCTAAAGGGCCACAAATTCAAGGCATTAACTTTCCAGTCTTCATTTCATTCACACTACTCAGACTCTGAAGTTTCCATTCTATGGGGAAGTGTATTTGACATAGGTATTCCTTTCAATTGCAAACAACTCAATATTTCTACAGGAATATGACTTCTTCAGGAAAAAGCTAAATATTATCAACTGGGGCTAGAGTGTCACATGACAAGCAATGAATGTTATTGCATACAGCTAAGAACAACAGCTGAAAAGGAATTAAAACCTATGTGTGCTGGGCTCAAGGAAGTGGAGTCCAATAAAAAGAGGATATCCTGGAGACTAAATTGTCATCTCTAAATTCAGAATGCCAGACGCCTCCAATCCACACCAGTCTTTCAGAACTTCTAATGCTCTCCTCTACTTATACTGTCTAACCTCAACCTATACTGTTTAACCTGGGTCAGAAGATTTTTAAGACATTTAGGAACTCCAAAGAGTAACAAAGCACAAAACACATACGTTAAGTCTATAAGATCCTAGATCGGGGCTGGGAAGGTGGCTCAGTGATAGAGTGCTTGCCTTGCATGCATGAGGCCCTGGGGGTTCGATTCCTCACACCACATAAGCAGAAAAAAAAAGCTGGAAGTGGTGCTGTGGCTCAAGTAGAGTGCTAGCCTTGAGCTTCAGAGCTGAGGGACAGCGCCCAGGTCCAGAGTTCAGGCCCACGACCAGACCCCCCCCATCCCCAAAAAAGATCCTAGATCAGCTATATTCATTAAGCACATCCAAAATCAGAAGTAAAATTCCCAGCAAGATTACAATTTTTTTAAAAAATAGTGGAATCAATAATACAAAAAAGGCACTAGCTAAAGGGATCTAAGAACCTTCTGGACCAAGAGCACCCCAGCAGAGGCCAAATCATCGATTACACAGATGCCCAGGAATGTGCTTGTCTTCTCCCTCCCCAGTCTTGCCCAGGTAGGCAAAATGCGGGAAGTGCAAGGTCTTCCGCAGAACTCCTTCTAGTGATGAATACACCTGCAACACTGGGGGCTCTGCTTCCGAGGTACCCAGAGGTTTAAAATAGCGACCACACAGGAAAAGTCCATTTCTGTCCATAAGGGCGATCTCCTCGCAGCCTCCAGCCACCCTGAGGCGCTGCGTTCCCAGCGGAGCAGCGTCAGTCACCCTGCAAAGTTGTTCTCGGGCACTGTCATAATTAACACAACAAGCGTGTCAACAGTTCGCAGCCACAGGCTCCACACCCGCCCTCACCCCGAGTCAACCCGGAAGGCCTCCGAGGCCCGTACAAGTGTGGAAGGAGCAAGCTCGGGGGAAGGAGGAGGCCCTGACGCTCTCACACTCCAACAGGTCGCGCAGCCGCGCTGTGGAGGCCAGCGGCTGCAGGCGCGAGTGTGCCCCTCCGGGCGGGCGGGCGCGCGCGCTGGGGGCCACCTCATCAAAGGCCGG